GGCGCCTGGTATATAGCGGCATAGAGAAATTGTGGAGGCTGTGATGACAAAAGGTTGCACTGTGTTTGCACTTCTTGGCTTGGTAGTTCCACTGCTACACAAATATTTTCACCGCCCGGTTTAAGTGATGTGGCGATGAAAGTGCATGGTGATAATCAACTTCAGCAATGCCAAATGCCTGGAAACTGGTGGTGAAAATTGATTAATGAATTTAAAAAAATTAATACACTCACTGATCTCGCTGGTGCGCCACCTCCCGCACCCTACTGCCAGTCCTGCTGTTGTCACCCACTGATCCCGCTGGTGCGCCGCCGCACGCACCCACACAACAGTGGCATGCCCAAATCCACGCAAGGAAAGGAAGGGGTGGGCTTCTATGCCACTGTGCCTGATGTTGTAGGTCCATTCGATCCACCTCCACCCAATGCAGTCGTGCAGGGGGTCGCCGCATGCAGGGGCCACTAGGCGTCCACTCAGGGGTGTAGCCACTCCCTAGGGTCTACTACCATTGGGCCACCATTGCTGGCGAGAGTCATATGGAGGGAGAGATGGCGGAGGGAGGAAGAGAGAGAGAGAGAGAGAGAGAGAGAGAGAGAGAGAGAGAGAGAGGCATTTCTTCACATGTCAAGGCTGCTCTGAAATAGAGTATATCAAGGAGTCGGTGGGCCTAAGGATCTGCATGGTTCATGCTCATCTATTCTCGGGGCCACACGCGAGTGCACAAGCCCCACCTGTTAGCCACCCAGAGAGAACACAAGCGGTTGGTGATAGAGACAAATGTCGAGGCTGCTCTGAGTAGGTTTTCATCATCGGCTCTTCTCCCGAATCAGAGGTGAAAATGATTTTCACCGCGGGTTTTATTCTGAACTGGGGTGATATATTATCACAATGGCTTTAATAAAATGGAGAGTGAAAATGCCGTTGGAAAATACCGTTTTTGTAGTAGTGTTCATAGAAGTTAGCAAATAATAAGCATTGGCATGGACATCTCTGGACGAGGTATAATGTTGCAGAAGTTAGAAAATGATGGACTTGTGGGTAAAGTGTTGCACTTCGAACTTGGCTTAGTGCCGACAAGTGAATGTAAGGTTTTTTATGCTTGGGCTAGGCCCAAAGATGTAACAACATCATGCGACCCTGACCCCTATGGATACACATCTTGACAATTTTTATGGGCCTAGCTTGTGGGGATTCATGAAGCCCACTTTTGCAATTTGACTCGTTTACGACAACATGAGACCGACAAAATTATGTTGTACTTAACTAGGCTCCCATCATGGGCAACCAAATCATAGCATATTGTGGCGGCCCATATGTGTCTCACTAATCTTGATTAATTTGCTACTTTGGTCAAGCTTAGATTTATACGCAGAACCTAGCTATTTACCATTAGATAGTTAAGTAGCAAACATTTGCTAAACAGGGAGAAATTAATAATATTAGTAATTTAGAATTCAATTTAGCATGATGGGAAGAGGGGATTTACTGGACCTTGAATTGCTTCATGGCAAATTAGGAAGGACGAGTAGCGAGAAGGAAGGTGAAGTAGCAAGAGCCTCATTAGTTTTTAGATTGCTGAAGCTTCCTAAATATATCACAATCAAGTAAGACATCGGGTGTATATAAACTTGTGGCGAGAGGTGACGTGAGACGAGAATTTAGACTTATTATTTGCCATAAAGGACCTAATTAAAATTTTATTAAAGTTTCAAACTATCACTATAGTGCTAGATTGGCTGAGCTCCTGACATTAACTTGGAAACAAATGTTTATTTTTCTCCTTATAGAGCGTGTGGATTCATATTGTGATGGCTAGAATCGTTGAAGCTTACTTTGGTGCATGGTTTGATGGTGATTCAAAACAACTTGCTCCATGTTTGTGCCTACAGGTGGTATCAAAATGAACTATTTGCTTTGTCTCTTGACATCTTTAAACGTCAATACTGTTATTTCACACTATATTGCATGTATTTGCCTTAATGTTTTTATGGCAGGTGTTGCCATATCATCCTACTTCTATTGTAGCTTGTCTATACTATTCTTTGAGAAGATACCCCATAGTATCCATTAGCACTTTAGTAGTTACTCTACTTAATTAGCTAGGCTAGGTTGTCCTTTCTTCTAATGAGTTCGACCTTCTAGGAAACAAAGAAGACCCTCCAAATACAATGAGAGTAGACCACTACATAATTTAAGAAAAAAAGAAACATTTTTTATGTTCTGTCAGTGGCATATTTTCCCAATGACTTTGAGTGTACAATATTAGTTGTGCAACATAACTCTAACATACTCACTGTCCCTCTTGATCTTCTATCTAGGTCAAGCATGCATTGGTAAACACTATGTTACACTAAGGCACCCTAATGAGGACAATTTTCTCTCTCATAAGTTTGTGGATCCATGTGGAAAGAGGTGGCAGGGGGAGGGGGATTATGTTGATTTAGTTCCTCTAGTCGACTGAGGAATTATACATATTGGGGTATTTTATTCATCAAGAACAACCCAACAATAAGTTGTAAAAAGTACTCTTGATATATAGCACATGAGCTCTATGTCCATTGATATATCTATCATGCAATAAGAATTCTGATGACAATGTTGCTCGTGTGGACTCAAGCATAACCTATTCACACCAATCTGATTATTGCTCCGATTAACTCGAATTTGAATTTTGTTCTAGGTCAAACCTATACATAATGTACTTAGACGGATGTGTAGGACATTGTACAAGTGTGGGTGCAATTCTGGTAGTAGTGTTATGTGTAAGGGTGGTCTAGGGGACAAAGATCGCGTATGTTTTCTCCCACGTGTGTGGAAGTCACAGAAAAAGGGATCTCTTATACTTGATGACAAGAACACAACTATAAGCCACCAGAGACCAATAATTGTATGCAGTGTGTGAGAACACATGCATTAAATCGATAATGTGTGACAACACAAGTGTTAATATCAACAAAAATAGGGTGTTTTTCTATCCTTGATGGCAAAAGAATGCTAACAATAAGCCACCAAAACAAATGTAGTGCTTTGTCTAATAAAAAAATGTAGAAAAACATTAACTTTGCCAATAACATATTCTGTGAAGTAATTGAGAGTAGTTACAATCAACCTTTCGCATATATATATATATATATATATATATATATATATATATATATATATATATATATATATATATATATATATATATATATATATATATATATATATATATATATATATATGTGTGTGTGTGTGAGTGTGTGTGTGTGTATATGTGTGTGTGTGTGTGTGTGTGTGTGAAAAATCCTCCTTTCTACTCCTAGAATGTATTATAATAATAAACAAAAAAATATAGGCTCCTTTGAACATTTTCATGTAGTAAGATTTGAAGTATCTTAAAATGAGTATATAAACATACTCAAACTGATAAATGAGTATGCACTATACACCCATACACAAGGTAGTTTATTAAAAATGGAAGTAGCTACACCTAGGAGTAGGAAATTCTCTCTCTCTCTCTCTCTCTCTCTCTCTCTTCTCTCTCTCTCTCTCTCTCTCTCTCTCTCTCCAAGCACACACATGCACACTAATTAAGCATAACATAATCAGTTGCCTATTTTGAAATATAAAGACCACAATCTTGCTTACAACCACTACTACAGAATGTTCATAACTATTGGCTCCAATGACCACATCATCACCTTTTTCGCCCATCAATGGTGAAAGTGGGTGACGATGAGGTGAGTTATCGCTGCCGGTTCAAACCGGTGTGGGAAATGGTCATCACCGCCGACTCTTTTGCAGACCAGCGGTGATAATTGTAGAAAATGAAAAAAAAGCATCGACTGAGCCCACTAGCCTAGCCTGTCTACTACCGCTAGAGGGACTATGGCTCCCTTCCTGTACATCCATCCAGAAGAGGGCGAGGAGGAGGAGTAGTAGTAGGAGGAGGGGATAAGAGAGAGAGGGAGAGGGAGAGGGAGAGAGAGGATAGAGAGAGAGACAGATAGGTGTAGTCGAGAACTTGGGATGAGGTTCAGTGGAAGTGGAGGCTATTAGGGTTTCCCAATATATTCTAATAGCGATGGCAATCCTACCCATAGATATTGTACACGACAGGAGTAGGCCTGGGTCTAAAGTTTTTCAACCACGGGTGTGGGTATGTCGCATCACTCATTAATGCTAAAAGTACAAATTATTCTATCTATTCTAGTGATAATCTAACTCATGGGTGCCGGTATCCATAGGTATCGTACCTTGTGCACACAAAATCTTACCCATAGGTATGGGTGGATGTAATAAATTTGACTTGGTAGACAATTTGTGGCGGGTGGGTAGTTACTGCAACCCCCACCTTATTATTTGACCTGCCGTCATCCGTATACTCTGAGGCTATTCACGAGCTAAGGTGGGCCAGACGGGCCTTTTACAAAGATAATAAAAGTGCAATTTTTTTCACCAACAGTTGGTATAATGAACTATTCGTGTAAGTGATTTTCACCGTCAGATCATATTATGAGAAAATGCGGTTGGCGAAAACTATTTCTGTAGTAGGATGACTGCCAGCCGGGAAGCCAATCATCTAAAGTCCACTCTTGCCCCTAAAAATAACACAACACATCAGATTAGGCACCGGCTAAAACTAGTCCAAAATTAGATAGAAGATATAGAGAGGCAAAGTAAATGCATGCAAAATAACCCACAGTGCAAAAGGAGGGATAGAAATAGCGCATTGTGTACATTTTTGCACATCAGTGGCTGTGGCTCTAGCTTGGTCCTCCCACGCGCTCGTCGGCCCTCCGCTAGCAGGGCCTCGCATTTCACGTGCTCCCTCGCTCCCCCAGACGCACAAACAAACGAAGGCTGCCCGGGCCTCGCGGCTATAATAGCAACAGCCCGCCCACGCAAGAGAGAAACTGCACAGTGAGGGAGAGAGAGGGAGAGAGAGGCCGAAGCACCAGCACCACCACCAGTGACCCGGCCAAGCTAAGGTACCGATCGAGGAGGACGGGGAGGAGATGGCCGCCTCTGGGAACAACAAGTTCGGCCTTACGTGCGCTCAGGTGCGGCAGTTCATGATGGAGCGGAACAGGCAGGTGCGGATGGGTGACCTCGTCGGCTCCTCCTCGTTCCAGAGGCCACTGCAACTGACCCCGGTCCCTGTAGCGACGGGGCCGGCGGGGACCTGGGACACCGGCGCCACGACCTTGTCGCTGTTCCCCGCCGGCACTGGCACGGAGATCATCAGGTGAGCTCGATCGAGTTATATATTAATTGATCTGCTGGCTGACGTGTTCTTGTCCCGGTTTAATTTCTTGATCGGTTTGTTGCAGGCCAGAGGAGACCAAGGCCACCCTGACCATCTTCTACCAGGGGCAGGTGGCCACGTTCCACGACTTCCCGGCAGACAGAGCCAAGGACCTCCTGCAGATGGCAGGTTCTGTGACCGGGAAGGCGCCGGAGAAGGGGTTCTTGCAGATGGCAGGTTCTGTGACCGTGAAGTCGCCGGAGAAGGTGGTGATGACCGCCGTGCCAGAAAAGGCGGAGACCAGTGATGAGCCATCGGCTGCAGGGGCAGGCATGCAGCCCATCGCAAGGAAGCTGACGCTACAGAGGTTCCTTAGGAAGAGGAAGAACAGGTGAGGAGAGATCACATGCATGCACTCTCACATCTGGGATCCACTATATATATCGATATATGGGATTTGCATTGTCTTGTCAGTAATTTCTTTCTCGGTGCTATTTGGAATTTTGGATACAGCACTGGATGATAATATCTGCACGTGTGTTATTACTCGCAGGAACGCTGGCACTGACGACCCTGACCACAACGAGGATGCTTCGCCGTGGAAGAAGAGAGACTCCGCCGGCGCCGGCAACAACCCCGCGGAAGACGTGCCTGATGATGCCTCGTGGCTCAGGCTCTGAAACCCTTCACCGTTTACAGGAGAGGAAGGGGTGCTGGCATGCATGCCATACACCCTCAGAGATGATACAATAATAATAATAATAATCCTGTGCCTGTCTCAGAATTCTTACGATCTCCTCCTAAGAATTCTTAGGCCCTGTTTTGTAAAAGTTACAGCTTTTCTAAAAGCACCTCCTCAAGAAGATTTTTAGAAAAGCTTGAGAATAAGATGGTTTCTCTGCCTTAAGTACAAAAAGTGTAGCTTTTGGAGCTTTTGTCGGCTTGAAGAAGCAACCCTGTTTAGGGAAGCTTGTGGCTTTTTGAGCTTTTTGAGGAAGCAAACACTACTACAACAATCTTAACCAAGATGGGCAAAAAGTCTTAACCGAGGCGGTTTTCCCAACCACCTCCACCAAAAGGTCATGGTAAATCGTGCCTTAATGGAGGCCGTTGGTCGTCCGCCTCGGTTAATCAAATAAAAAACAAAAAATGAAAACCCATGGACAAACCCAGTGAGCCCATCCACGGGGCGCCGCTCTGCTCGCCGGAACGCCCCGCGCCGCCCGCGCTGCGGCCAGAGCGCCCGCTGGAGGGGCCGCTCATCGGATCCGTTGCCGCCGCATGAGCACCGCCAGATCCGAGCTCTTCCTTACCGGATCCGGGCTTGTCCTCGCCGGATCCGGCGCCGCCACATGAGCGCCAGCAGCAGGGGAGGAGGGCGTGGGAAGGAAGGGCACCGTTGCGGAGGAGGCACGAGGCCGGGCCGCTGCGCCCGCGAGGCCGCGCCGCCGGACGACCAGGCCGCTGCGCTCGCGAGCTCTTCCTTCGCCTCTAGATCCTTCCGGTGAGGGAGAGGGAGAGGGAGGGGAGTGGTGGCGCCGCTAGAATAGCTGAGCTGCTCGGGGCGAGCGTCAACGAGGGAGGGAGAGAGAGAGGGAGTGAGTGGAGGGAGTCGCGCCGGATCGCCGAGCGCCATGCGACCGAGGGAGTCACGCCGCTGCTTTGGGGGCATGAGAGAGAGCTGAGAGAGCGAGGGGCTAGGGGAGAAACCCTAACTCCTCAATTCATATAAGCCCGGTAGAGAGTTGGATTGGGCTTTGGCTGGGCCTTGGGAATATTAACCGATGCGGGTCTCATCTCCAAAAATGGGGGTATTTTTGGAGGCGGGCCTCTCGGTTAATAGATTTTAGGAGGCGGTTTAACCGCCTTGGTTAATAAAAAATGACCGCCTCGGTTAATCCAGGCATTAACCGAGTCGGTTGAAATGCCTGCCCGCCTCCGAGACACTTTACCAAACGCTGCGCAAAAGAATTTGTGTAGTAGTGAAAAGCTGACATAAGCTTCCTCAAATAAGACCTTATACTACTGGCAAGACCGTATCTTTTGCATCTCTGTCAATGCTTTTGTGTGGTTATTGTAACACCTCTGGTGTTTTGACCTAATACTAAAATTTGACATGTCATCATATGCATTGCAAAGCATTCATAAAGAAGAAAATTTGGAATGCATTCACTAAATAAGATTTGTTTCATAAGTTGTTATTTCATGTGATGTGTTTCAAAACTCTAAATCTGAGATCATGACCACAAGGGTTAAATTTCATGTGATCATGTGAGGTCATATGTCCTTTGACTCAAATAATCCTAATGGGCCATGTTACTGGTCAAAAATCAAAATCTAAGTGAAAGGAAGACAAATCAAATTTGAATTCATATTCAAATTACATAAGTCATTTTGCCCTTTTTACTAATTCAAAATCCATTTGGAATTTGGAGTTTTTACAAAAAGCAAAGATGGAGCTTATTTTATAAGGATCAACTTTGGTATTCAAAGTTTTCAAGTTTACATATAAAATTTGGAGTAATTTTGAAATGATTCAAATGCTCTAATGCACCCCAAATTCAAATTTCAAAATGGAGGCAGAATTTGAAAATGTTTCTAGAAGCAAAGTTGTAGAGTTTGAAAAATTGAACAACTTTCATTTTTGGAGATTTTCAACTTCTTTAGAAAATTTGTGAGTAATTCAAAAAATAGTCTCAGTGGCAGTTCTGTAATTTATTCAAAAATCAACCGGAACAGGTCATCACCTCCCTGCTCGCCACCGAGCTGCCGCCACCGATCGGTTTTCACACGCTTGCTAGCGCGGTGACACGCCGATGTCACCGTGGCGAACCCGCCGTCTTGTTGGCGGCCTTGGGCGCCTTCTTCCGACTATAGATAGCTCTGATCGCCGCCGTCGTTACCATTCTTCCCCTCTACTCTGCTCCGCCACCGTGTAGCTCCGCCGCTCGCCGTAGGCATCGTCGAGCCGCGTCAGTCGTTCCCAGGTACGTCAACGTGATCGCCTCGGTCTTGCGCTCCTCCTTGATTTGCTTTCATCGCTGGTGTTGGCCGGAATCGCCCGGCGCAACCCGTCTTCCCCGAGACGGGTCGGAGCTCGCCACGCCCCCTCCGTGGCCGGTTGCTCCGGACCATCTCCGTCTTCACCGAGTCCACCATCGTGATCATAGTGAGCTCTGAGCGTGTTTATCACTTCGCTTTATTCTCTCTTGCATAAATCGCCGTGGTTACGTCGTGCGCCGTGCAGCAGGTACTGAGCCGCCATGGCGGCGTGGAGCTCACTCCGTGAGTCTTCTATCGTTACGAGGATTGGGTTAGATTCACGACGTGGTGTGAAGAGCATGGTGGTACAGTCCGTCTCACCGGAGAAGCACCGCCGACGCCAGCGTTTTGCTGGCCGGAGCTGGCAACAAGCGTCGTCGTGCCCTATCTCTGTCAATCGTGTGACAGTGAGCCTAGGGTTGTCGGTCTTGAGTGAGGAAGAAGAAACGGTGAAAATTTTTATTTTACGAATTTGTGAATAATCTTGAATCTTTAGAAATTTGTAGAAAAATAATCATAGCTCCAAAAATTCTGAAATTTTTTGTAGCTTCTGTACATGTTCTAGTATGATTTAAAATTTGAAATTTGAAATTTGGATAAATTTTTAATGTTCAAAAATTCAGTCAATTAATTAATAAATGCAATTTCCATGATTTTTGTAGGCCACTGTATAACTCCAAAATTATGAAATTTATTTTGGTATACTAATTTATCATGAGGATGCTTGTGTAAATTTTTGAGATCATTTGGAGGAAGTTCATTTTGAGCTTAATTCTAAATTAATTCAAAAATAAATAAAGGTAAACCCTAAGTGTAGGTTTAGGGTTTGATCTTGATTTGGGTCGTGTAGTGTGACTAGTAGGGTCCCAAGATCCATTTGGTCAAGTCACATGTATGGTTCTTAATGGTAGGATTGCAAGTTGGTTTTGTTGGCTTGCAAGCTGTGCAAGTGAAATAAAATCATTTTGGTGTTTTTTACATTTCATGTACCGTGAAAGCATCATGTTTACATTATCATCATGTTAAAGCATATGTTATCATTTCGTGTAGAACCCGAGAATGAAACGATTCTAGTTGAGCAAGTTCTGGAAGAATCCCCGGTTGTCGCGGGATTTGATAATTGTGGTACTAATCCGGAACCGGAAATCGTCATCGAAGGCAAGCCCCGGTTTATGCATTACACCATTACCTTGTTTACTTTGAAAAGTTTATCACTTATGTTACTTATCGCATTAAGTTGTTTATTCAAATGTTACCTACTTGATGCATTGCCTACCTTGTTAATTGTTTACCATCCTTGAAGATGATTTCATTTACAATGGCGTAGAATTGCTTAGTATGCTTTATGGTAGGCTTTTCAAAGTAAAAGTTTCTATATAATCAAAGATGGCATCTTGGCCAAAGAAAGAAAGAAGGAAGGTAGAATGAACTAGAGACTAGTTGGGTGGCTTATCTTGAATGTTGGGTAATGTTGCCGACTATGTAAACAAAAAGGCCACTCATTGTGGATCTTGAATGAGACACTTTGTAGTACTAGTCACATACTCGGTAAGCCTACTTGGCTAATCCGATACTAAGACGAATGCCCACGCCTTGGGAGTGGTGAGATGGCGGGAGTAAGCGTGTACCCTCGTGGCTTGAATGTGGCGGATTTGAGGTGTCTTTGTGCTCTCGGGTGGCGTGGAGCGGCTTAATGCGGGAGGATCCGGTAGCGAGGTTGATATATGCAAGATGAAGTTCTACATATGTCGTGTGATAAGGAATCCCTAGTGGGACTTGAATCAATTCAATTGCGGTGCTCATGGACATGGAGACTCGATTCATTACGAAAGCAATGTAGGGTGGTGAATTACTAAAACATGAGAAAAAGAATGGAATGAGCGAGTTGGAAACATGGGATATGAACACTTAGTTGGAGATATTGGACTAAAATACTTAGAGGTAAAACTTGAAACTAGGATCAAGAATAGTAAGCTTTTAGCAAAGAATTTTTGAATCTTTCTACATCCTTACCTTGACCCAACACACTGCATCCCTAAGACCTTCGCCCTTTTTGGTGGGGTCGGTCTTGTTGTGTACTTTTGTACTTTCGGGGTTTGTTAACCCTTATTGCGGTGAGTCGCATGCTGTGAGCTTGTTTTGGTCCTGCTTTGCATGTTAGTGTATGAAGTCGATGACGATGAGGAATGATGAATGGCCTTTGGACAAGGCACTAGTTTGTGTGAAATAAATAATGTTAATGTAATATTATCTCGCTACTATGGTTGTATAACACTTATGGTATTATAAGTTTGAAAACAACTGGTTTGTAATTATGTTATCTTAAGACTTCCGCTATCATTTACTCGGTATATATTTGAATAAACTGTTGTAATCTGTAATGGCCCGTGATTGGGATCCTGTTTGAAAAGAGAATCGTGGATGATTCGGGTTTCTCGAGGACACCCGAAGCGGACACTGTTGAGTTGTTGGGAACTTCGTATGCGCTATTCGAGGTGCATTAAGGCGACGATAGGTGCATGTGGGCCCGATTCCTTAGGAGATTACGCTACAAATTTGGTATCGAGCGGGTCCTATCTAAGATCATTGTAGGTTACTTTGGAAAACCTTCAAATTGATTTGGATCAAAGAAAGTAAA